TATTTCTAAATTATATTTCTATATGAACTCTGCATTTTCTTTTTCTCCGATTAATGTGAGAATTTCTAGACCATGAGAGCGAACGTGGAGGCTCTTTTTTCTATTCCTTTAATAATATAACTAGCTAGGTGGCCCGCGCAATTGCGCGGCTAGCACCCAAACAAAATCATATACTTTTTAGTATGATTTTACTTAAAATTTATTAAATAGCTATCTCACTGTTTTAAGACTTTAAAAGACCAAACCTTATCATCCTCGTGTTTCTAATTATATAGTTTTTAAAACTCACACCAGTTGCTACCCCTTATGTCATCTCCTTCTTTATTTGCTTGCTCGATCTACCACTATTTTTATTCATTCTTCTTGGAACTTTTAAAAATTGGATTTTATAGTTTTAGAGTTTATTGTCACGTTGGGTTTCGTTTTTATAATTTCTAGATGTCCCGTAAAATGTTGCCATTATACTCTTCTACGGCCCGTCCAGTGTTTCTTCTCTTTATTGTCATTGAGATTTTAAAAATTGAACATAATTATCGTTTGGGTTCATTTTTACTTTCTAGAAGTCCCGCCAAATCATCAGCGGCTTTGCCATTGTACTCCGCTATGGCTTGCCCGCTGCCTCCCTTATTTATTGTCATTGAGATTTTAAAATCAAACCTGATTATCATTGGGTTTTTTTTTTTACTTTTTGGAAGTTCCAAACCTTTAAAAATTGGACTTGTAATTTTATTTTTTTATAATTTTTAGAAGTTCCATCAAACAATGCCACTATGCCTCTCTACAGCTCGTCCATCGCCTACTCTTTATTGTCATTATGATTCTAAAAATCGAACATAACTATTGTTGGAATTCATTTTTTATTTTCTAGAAGTCCCGTCAATCGTCAGCGGCTCTGCAACTATACTCTTATACACCCCGCCCGCTGCTTCTCCTTTTTATTGTCATTGAGATTTTAAAAACCGAATATGATTATCAATAGGGTTTATTTTTTTTTTACTTTCAAGAAGTCCCAGCAACTGCTTTACTTGTTTGCTTCACGGCCTGCCTGGCGTCCCTCCTTTTAATCGTCATTAGGATTCTATTTGGTGTTTTATTAACAATTTTTATATGTCGTATCAACCGCCACCACTCTACTCCTTTATAGGCATGTTACTTAATTTATCTCGTCATGTGTTTTAGATGGTTTTTTCTTTCAATAGTCTTTATTTTTATCACAAACTTTAGTTATTTATAAATTGTATTCCTAATTGAAATCTTATTTTTCTTTTTCTAATTTCAGAATTTATTTTTTAAAAAAAATTTAGTTAATACCGTATTGTGTTCTTTTAATGTTTTTATTTTTTATTTTCAATTTCAGTTGTTTCAAAATTGTATTCCTACTTGAACTCTCTTTTAATTTTTCTAATTTTGGATATTATTTTATTTTTTATTCAAAATTTTAATTAATTTGTATTGGGTTCTTATATGGATTCTTCTTTCAATATTGCTTATTTTTAATTCTGAATTTCAGCTAATTTTAAATTGTATTCCTACTTGAACTCTTCTTTTATTTTATTTTTCTAATTTCGGATTAATTTTTATTTTTATTCTGAATTTTAATTAATCTCGTATTGGGTTCTTATATGGACTCTTCATTTAATATTCTTTATTTTTAATTCTGAATTTCAGCTATTTTTAGATTATATTCCTACTTGGACTCTCGTTTCCTTTTCTAATTTTGTATTTTATTTTATTTTTATTTCGAATTTTGATTATTCTCGTATTGAGTTCTTATATGGAAACTTCTTTCAATATTGCTTATTTTTAATTCCGAATTTCAGCTATTTTTAGATTATATTCCTACTTGGACTCTCGTTTCCTTTTCTAATTTTTGATTTTATTTTATTTTTATTTCGAATTTTGATTAATCTCGTATTGGATTCTTATATGGAAACTTCTTTCAATATTGCTTATTTTTAATTCCGAATTTCAGCTATTTTTAGATTGTATTCCTACTTGGACTTTTCTTTTTTTTTCTTTTTCTCCGATTAATGTGAGAATTTTTAGCCTCCACAGCGAACGTGGTGCCTCCTTTTCGAGCTGTCTTAATAATATAATAGATTTCAGCTATTTTTAGATTGTATTACTACTTGGACTTTTCTTTTCTTTTTTTCTTTTTCTCTGATTAATGTGGGAATTTCTAGCCTCCATAACGAACGTGATGCCTCTTTTTCGAGCTGTCTTAATAATATAATAAATAGATAAATAGATAGATAGATAGATAGTCCTTAATTTGCAAACTTTGGCAATGTCGGAAAAGCCGCCATTGCCCTCTGCCTTCACCTCCTTCCGGTTCTTTCCTCGCTTGATCTTGCCTTAGCCTGCACCACAGCAAAGCCCGTTGCACTGAGACATTGAATGTCAGTGTAAATAAACTTTTAGTTATAGATTCGAGGGTACAGCTATTAAATAAACTTTTTAGAAGGATCAAAATATCAAAAATAATGATTGACTTCAGGCCATTCACCATGCGAGACACAAAGGAATTTTAAAGTGTGCCATGTAGGATGAAGCACTTTAAAGCCACACCCTCCACCATACATGTTTAGTTATGCTAAAACCTACAAATATTATACATTTCAGTTTCTTATATTTTTCAGTTTATATACTATACTTTAAAATTTTGTAGCAAACACCCTAAGATTTCAGAGAGAGAAACATAAAACTCTCCTTTCCCGACTCGATTCTTCTCCCCTCCACACCATCTCTCACCCCCATGGCGACGTGGCATCACACGTTGTCTTCCTTCCAGCGGTGGATGAAGGTCATTATCATATGTACGCTCTTTTCCTCCCATTACCTATTGTCTCTTTGGCGATCTCACCCTCTACTTTTTTTTATTAGAGTTAGGTTGGATTGGGTTAGAAAGAATGAAAGACGAAGGGACACGCGGGTCTTCACAAGGGTGCAAGTCTCACGAATATTAGCGCGTTATGAAGGGCTCGTCATCACTAGATCGCGTGGTTTTGTCGAGGATAGAACAGTTACGCACTCTATTATAATTGAGAACCAAACTTTATATCTCTCGATGTTTTATAGGTTTGTTTATTTTAGGACGGAAGAAATATGACCGATCGACGTGAAAAGACAGGAGGTAACGTACACGTATGCACATGTGAGTCCCACCGAGCTGGTTCTCAGCTTGGCCGCACACGTACACTAGCTAGTTCCCTGCATCTGGGTGACACAGCTGTGTGCCTGTGTCACTGTGTGCAGCTGGCCTAGCTACACTAGCTCGTCCATGGAATCCTTCGATTGAGGCCGTGTTTAGTTAAGTTTTGTCATGTCACATCGCATTTATGTATATACATATAAAATATTAAATATAGATTAATAATAAAATAAATTATAGATTTCGTCTGTAAATTGCGATACAAATTTTTTAAGCATAATTAATTCGTCATTAGTAAATGTTTACGATAGCACTATATTATCAAATTATAAAGTAATTATGCTTAAAAACATTTGTCTTGTAATTTACATGTAATGTGTATAATTAATTTTTTTATTTATATTTAATACTTGACGTATGTGTTCAAATATTTAATGTGATATAGCAAAAAGTTTCTGTTGAGGAACTCAACAGTCATGAAATTTGAAGCGATCGAATGATCGATCTGTGATCTGTCTGTGTGGCATAGGCGGATAGCTCCATATATTATGAGCTGAGGATACTGCAGTGTGAGATGTGCCCGGTGTGGGGGCCCACCTGCAGAGCCACCTGTCCCTGACGAGAAGCCTCTACAGCTCTCGGGGGGAGTACATGGGTTTGCGTCTACAGTACATGTCACTCATGATTCCGTTGTCCTACTCGATCGATCGTACTCAACAACTGGGCGACACAAACGATACCTCTCCGAGACTCCGACCTGTTCCATAAGTCTCTAACTTTTAAATTTAACTCTCTAAGTTTAAAATAAAATTGTAAAGTAGCTTAAATTCAGCTTCACTCTTCTCATTTTGAGAAAGTACTTCACTTCACAAGTTAGACTGTTAGAGCCTTATTAAACAGGCTACTTCACATTATATCAGATCACATTATAAGATATTTCACGTTATAACTACGAGTAGTAACCAGTAGTAGTACTAACCACTAACTAATGTAAACATATCAACGTCCTTTTAGCTTGTTCTTTTTTCTAGCCTATTCACTTTGTAGCTAAAATAAGCCTTACAAAGTTTTAGTAATGTTACAATTTTAACAGGATTTCTTATGTATTGACTAAATTTAGCAACAAACTAAACGTAGATATTTTTTTATAACTTTATCAAAAAATGATATGGTTGAAAATGGCATCAAACTAGACCCTTTTATAACGAACGTGGATGTGCTACAGTACAGCAATGGAAGTGTGTTAATTAAAACTACTTTGCGAGCGTGTACATGCTTGCATGCGTGTCCATTAATTAAGGCACGCTGATTAAGCTATACCATATGCACTTTCCACGACTACACCGTACTCCGGAAAAATATACATTGCAAATCACGAAAACTTGAAAACAATAATTATCTTAGGACAGCCCCAATGTATGCTGCAAACTTGATAGTAGCGTGGGAAAGAGTGGGACCAAGATCAGATGATATGGTAGTATATGATAGGCTCCACAATGTATATGTGTTAGCATTAGGTTATAAGGTGGACTCACTTAAAAGAAAATCATATATTCTTAAATTTTATATGACCCTGTACTGTACCAAAATCATAGTATATTTTTTATTGCCGGTAGTAGCACTGTGATCTGGTTATTATTGTTTATCACTTTCACAATATTTCTTACCGGATAGTAGGAGTCTTTTTCATGCTTCTTACCTGATTTTTCATATATTATGGACGCCCTGATACATCTATTTGTAATCTAATAATAATAAGTTTTCAGGTTTACGTTACATGTTTTTAAAGTTTTTCAACACATATTTTCCCCCTACGCCATCCTCCCGTCTTTATAAGCAACCAACCCAATCGAGCGAGCGAGGCGAGGGAGGCAAACTCCATTACTCCATCGCCTTCTTCTTCTTCGCCATAGACGACTCTAGAGAGACCTTGCACACACATGTACTTGTCCTACCATGGCCTCCAGCGTTTAATCATCCCGCTAATTAATCTCCTCCGAGGTAATTAACTAATCAATCAGCATCCGTACGTGTTAACGATCGCCACACGTACGTGTATGCCATGGCCGGCCTCTGCGTCCTCCTCGAGAAGCAACACGCCGCCGCGATGACGACGGCGACGGCGGCGGCGGCGAGAACGGCTCAAGTCATAAGCAAGACCGCCGTCCTGAGCACCGCCGGCGGCGGCGGCAGCAAGATCCACGGTTGCTACTCCTCTTCTTCCTCCTCTTCTCGCGCTCCAGTGGTGGTGGCGACGACGGCGTCGTTCTTGCACCGGTGCTTCCTCTGCCGCCGGGAGCTCGCCGGCGGCGACGACATATACATCTACAGGTTAGTCATCTCTCCCTCGATCTCGTCTCTCCATCGTTGATGATAAGCTGATCGATCCGGCCATGGTGCAGAGGGGACAGGGCGTTCTGCAGCGACGACTGCCGGTTCAGGCACATCTTGACGGAGGAGGAGGAGGAGGACGGCGACATGAGCTGCCGTGCCAAGGACGCCGCGGTGGCGGCGCCAACTCGCCGCCGCTCTCGCAACCGGCGGGCCGTCGCCGGCTGCGGCGGCAGCGGATTTTTTGCGTACTAAGTTGGTCGCCGGCGGCGAGCTAGATCGCCGTGAATAGTATAGTTAAAGGTGGGAGAAGAGTTGAGTTCATCTGCAAGCATGCCTATATTAGCATGCGAAATTAATGCTAAAATATGTAGTACTTATCTTGGGATTAGCTTTTGATTTTACCCTGGTTTTCCTATATATATGAGTTATATTTTGGTATAGTATAGTATAGTAAGTATGATTGTATGAAATGGTTTAATTACATGATAGAGAAGGCTTAAGTTTGGAGTTTTTTGAGCGTGTGAAATGTGCTTTGGTAAAGGTAGAGAGTGCTCATATGTCCTTTTTGAGGGATTTTATTCAATTTTTTTGTATTTTCTATCTCTGTATTTACTATTTGGGGTTACCATTATATGTATATATATGTACTAGTATATATATTAGCTTTTTGCTACTCGACTACTCTCTCCATCCCATAATATAAGGGATTTTGAGTTTTGTCTCATAATATAAGGGATTTTGAGTCTTTACTTATAGTGTTTGACCACTCGTCTTATTCAAAAAAAAATTTATGCAAATATAAAAAACGAAAAGCTGTGCGTAAAGTACTTTGGATAATAAAGTAAGTCACAGAAAAGTAAATAATAATTCTAAAATTTTTTTGAATAAAACAAGTGGTCAAACACTACAAATAAAAACTTAAAATCCTTTTTATATTATAGTACGGAGGGAGAAATAATTAGGTGATGAGAAAATATAATGGGTGGTGATTGATATGCATGCTCCTTAATTTGCAAGGGAGGGATTGATGTGTGGTAACATACTGGAGACTCAACGTACTGACGTGAGTATATATCTAATCTGAAGTAGTGAAAGGAATAATCTCTCACAAAGTTGCCATGGTCACGTTAATTATCAAATAAATATGGTCCCTCCGGTTCTTCATTCAGATGTTTTTAGCCGTCGGATAATCCAATTTTTTTTTGAACATGACAATCTAATTGTCGAAATATCTTCTTGGTCCTAAAAAATTTCTAATTGTTTGAACTGAATTAATTATTTGAATGTGTTCATGACCAAAGAAAATAGCAATGTATATGTACCCCAGATTGTGTGTGAGAGAGAGAGATGCACAAATAATTTGGATGAAGAGGAAAATTAAAGAAGATATGTTTTGTGCAGTAATAAATTAAAATGAGAAGGTAAAGGTACTGGAGGGCCAAGAAACTAGGGAACCATCAAGACTACTAATCCAATTATCTGTCACATGGTCACAGGGTACTTATATTTTGCATTAACCCTTCTCCCCTTTACAAAGTACCAAGCCAAAAATAAGACATATGCATGCATTTGTATTTCACATAAACTATATAATGGAAAAAGGAGAGGGGATAGAAAAGGAAGGAGAACTTTATGATTAATCTAGTTTAAAAGTTTATAATATTTGACCCATCAATTTAAGTGAAAATCAATGTATGAATGTTTTGTTTTTTCAGGATTTTCTCTAATTTATTATAGCGTCACGTGATAGCTAGGGGTGGGCAGAAAATACCGAGCCCCAAAAACCCGAAATCGAGACCGAAGTACCCGAGAGGTCGGTCATCGGTTCTTAGTTCAGTCATACGTTTGAGAACGATATTTTTTCCGGTGCTTCGGTCTTTGTCGGGTATCCGATCTGACCGGACACTGAGTTTGGGAAATTTGACCCAGTAGCCCATCACATGTCCAGGAAGCAGAACTTAGCCCATCCGCTATACACTCCCCACCCCATCCTAACCCTAGCCGCCAACATTAGCAGCTCATGCATCAGCGCGCTTCCGTCATCCTGTGTGGCCGTGTCGCTACTTGCCACCGCATGCTGGTCGCCGCTACTGCACCAGATTGAGATCCTCTAACGTAACTTTCACTGATTTGGTGGCTGACATGTGGGCCCAAGAATGATAGGGCCCACATGTCAGTCACGGTGAACAATGACGTCAGAGGATCCTCTCCCACTACACCACCTCTGCCTTCACCATGCTTCCCACCCCCACCCCCACATCCTCCTAGCAGTCGTCACCGTCTCCTATCCCAACAGAGGCAAGGTCGATGCTGCCAAGGTCATGCCAAATCTGGCCGAAGCGGCAGCCATGGTGGTCATAACCATCTTGGATCTCAGAAGAGCAACTAAAAGTTTTGGCGTCACCTGGTGAATTTCCTCCCACGACGAGGTTTGCCGAGGTGAAGTTTGGGAGGATGTGGTTGAAATCAGCAGTGAGCTTCTCCCGGACAGAGGATACAGCTCAGCTCCACGAAGTGTCCTATAGGAAATTACATATTTTTTTTAGTGTCCATCACCCGTGTCACGTTTTTACGGTGTCTCTCAACCAATTACACGTTTTTTTAAGTGTCTAATAAATTTTGCCAATTCAACTTCGTAATGTCCCGTAACATCAGCCCCGACCGGCCTACATCAACACAGATCCAACGGCCTTCCAACCTCAAGCACGGATCTTAACACAAATCCAACGCACAAAAATCTGACTGAAATCTAACTAAAAATATGACGACACAATTATAGCGAAACTGTCATCATTTTGCTGCTCAGCACCTCCGATAGAGAGCAGGACACCCCGACGACGAGAGAGCGCGCGGGCGCACGAGAGGAGCGAAGCAGGCCAAGCTATTAGGCCCATTGGGCTTGTTTTTTTTTTCTTTTTTTGTGTAAATGGGGCTTTTGACTAGGAAACCCTAAACCCAAATTTCCCCTTTGTCCAGTTCTCCAATCCCCAACCTGTGCCGTGCGCGAGGAGGGGCGCGGTAGGGCGTAGAGCGGCGCGCGCGCGGGTCGGCGGCGCGGCAGCCGGCACTGGCAGCGCAGCGCAGCGCAGAGAGCAAGGCAAAGGCAGCCACCAACCAGGGACTGAAGGCAGGCAGAGGTAACAAGCTACAGAGGAGGAGAGGAAGAGGAGAGATTAGGAATGTTGAGGTATTGTTGAGTTTCTCTTCTATTTACCCTTTTGCAACTGGATGATGGATTGTGAACTCATATGACTAGTGCTTGTTGCTATGCTTAATGTAGACGTGATGGATAATGCTGCGTCGTATAATATCGTGAATTGATATTGCTTTTTTTTCCCCTTCTTATTCTGTTCTAATTCTCGCGCGCTAGTTCATGTGCCACACCTAATTTTTTTCTGTCCTCCGCCACTGACCTTATATGCGCTAGTTCATATACGAATTTTTTTTTTGTCCTCCGCCACTGACTTATATGTTCTTTAGTTTGCTAAAATCCTCTCATAACATACATTTTAGCTCCTTCAAGAAGTGGCTCCTGGTTTTCTTGCTCTCCTCTTGCGATATTGCTGGGTACTCCCTCTGTTTCATAATGTAAGACTTTCTAGCATTGCCTACATTCATATAGATGTCAATGAATCTAAACATATATGTGTGTCTAGATTCATTAACATATATATGAATGTGGGCAAGGCTAGAAAGTCTTACATTATGAAACCGAGGAAGTATTTTTCTTCTTCTTGATATATCAACGCACAAAAGCTTTTTCAGTGTTCGTTGAAAAAAAGAGCAAAATTTTCTCATGAGGAATTAAAACTGATTTTCTTACACTTATGATTCCTTAAATTGCAAATTTGCAGTGAGTTATTTACAGCCCCTCAAATTTCCTTTTCGCCAACTATTCCTTCTAGGTATTGAACAGAACGTTTTGCTTCTTCTATCTATTTTTATAATTATTTTGAGGTACACATATTGCATAGTTTTAAGCTCGTATCATTAGCATATATTCAAGGTCTGATAGATTAATCTTATGGGTGCAGGTGGCAATAGCCGAATTCATTTCTCAATGATGAGCCCTATGTAAAGTTGTATACTTCTCCATATTTCACATGGTTCTGTGCCGGCAGCCCAAATATGTATTCCAATGGTGCAGACACCTGAGAATTCCCCCCCTGGGACTCTCTTCCTGCCCCTTCTCTGTACTGACAGCTTCAGCTTCAGTTCAATCAGACTGCTCTAGTGATGATGAAAAACTGAATTGTGCTCCGTCTCAACATGCCCGGAAAAGATCCCGCCCTTTGTGCTCTGATAGTGTTGTACAGACTCTCCACTGCCTAAAGAGACGACCTGCCATTGCATTTGCCTACTTTAAAGATACACAGAGCATTGGGTTTAATCATGACTTTTCAACCTACTCAGAGATGATTCAGATTCTATCCCACTCACGCCAGGGGAAGATGTTAGTTTCATTGTTCTCTGAGCTTGTTTCAAGTAGTAATGCTAGTGGTCCTGAAATTTTGCCCCTTGTTGATCACCACAGAAGAACATGTGCTACTCCATGTTCACTCTCGTTCATGGTTGATTGCTTGATCAAGGCATGCATCACTTGCTATGATGTACAAGCAACCATATGCTTATTTAGTGGCATTTGCAGGCTTGGAGTTGTCCCATCTGTTTGGACTTGGAACCTGCTTCTCAAATTTATAGCTGAGACTGGTGAATATGAGATGGTTCTCGCAGCTTATAATGAAATGAAGTGCTTTCAGCTGACTCCCGATGTTTATACATTTGCCATAGTCACTAGGTCACTTTTTCAAGCAAAGAAAGTGGACGAGGCTTTGCAAGTTTGGGCCGAGATGACTGAAATGGGAGTGAAACCAGATGCACGTGGGTACTCGTCATTTCTAATTGGTCTGTGTGATTGCGGAAAATATGATTTAGCTTATGTTATTCTACAAGAGATTAATAGGGAGAAGGTTCCTGTTGAGGCCATGGCTTATAACATGGTAATGGATGGACTATGCAAAGAAATGAGATTGGATGAGGCGGAAAAGCTCTTGGAAAACAAGGCCAGACAAGGATCCAACCCTGATGTATATGGTTATAGCTATCTGATTCGGAGTTATTGCAAAATGGGCAACCTAATAAATGCTGTGGATCATTATGAAGCCATGGTTTCTCATGGTATTGAGACAAATTGCCACATTGTGAGTTACCTTCTGCAATGCTTCAGGAAGTTAGGCATGACATCTGAAGCAATTGCGTATTTCCTGAAATTTAAAGATTCAGGGCTTCATCTTGACAAGGTGATTTATAACATTGCTATGGATACTTATTGCAAGAATGGGAACATGAACGAGGCAGTTAAGCTACTGAATGAAATGAAGTATGGGGGTTTGACACCTGACAAAATTCACTACACATGCCTAATCAGTGGTTACTGTTTGAAGGGAGAAATGCAAAATGCACAGCAGGTATTTGAGGAAATGCTGAAGGCCAATATTGAGCCAGATATAGTTACATATAACATATTGGCTAGTGGGTTTTGCAAGAGCGGTCTTGTTATGGAGGTGTTTGATCTTCTAGACCGTATGGCAGATCAAGGTTTGGAGCCTAATTCACTCACCTATGGTATAGCAATTGTTGGATTTTGTAGAGGAGGCAACCTTAGTGAAGCAGAGGTTCTATTTAATGTAGTAGAAGAAAAAGGAATTGATCATATCGAAGTGATGTACAGTTCGATGGTTTGTGGCTATTTGCTTTCAGGCTGGACTGATCATGCTTACATGCTTTTTGTAAGGGTTGCTCGACAAGGAAATCTTGTGGATCATTTTTCATGTTCTAAGTTGATAAATGACCTCTGTAGAGTTGGAAATGTCCAGGGGGCTTCAAATGTTTGTAAGATTATGTTAGAACATGATGTTGTACCTGATGTGATTTCATATAGCAAACTCATATCAATCTATTGTCAGAATGGAGATATGGACAAAGCTCACTTATGGTTCCACGATATGGTTCAGCGAGGACTTTCTGTTGATGTTATTGTATACACTATACTGATGAATGGTTACTGCAAGGCTGGTCGTCTGCAAGAAGCTTGTCAATTGTTTGTTCAAATGACAAACTTGGGCATAAAGCCTGATGTGATTGCATATACAGTTCTACTGGATGGTCACTTAAAGGAGACCCTTCAGCAAGGTTGGGAGGGGATTGCTAAAGAGAGAAGGAGCTTTCTTCTTAGAGCGAATCATAACAAGTTATTAAGCTCCATGAAAGACATGCAAATTGAACCTGATGTACCCTGTTACACGGTGTTGATTGATGGAAAGTGCAAAGCTGAATATCTAGTGGAAGCCCGGGAACTATTTGATGAGATGTTGCAGAAAGGACTTACTCCTGATGCTTATGCTTACACAGCTCTTATAAATGGATATTGTAGCCAAGGGGAAATATCAAAGGCTGAAGATCTTTTGCAAGAAATGATTGACAAGGGAATAGAACCAGATGAATTGACCTTTTCAGTATTAAATCAGAGTTCCTTGAGGTCTAGGAAGATTCAGTTCTGTGCATGATTCCCTCTGTGGTACCATGTTTAGTAAATTCTTTCTACTGAGGACACCTATGTCAACAGCAAGGTGATGCTTTTATCAATCATTAGTTAATTGGATTTTTCTCTTCTCTGCTTATAAAATTGGTCACAAGTATAATCTTATCAGCAGTATATACAATTCTCTGCAAGTGTTTCTACACTTGACAGGGAACTAAGTACCAACAATTGTGAAATATACTGGGCATAGCTTGTGAGTCTGATCAAGTAATTTATGATTTTCAGGAGGTCAACATTGCTGATGAAGAACTTTCTGTAAAAATTCGCAAAGAAAATGAGGCTCCTGTTGTTGAGAGAAAAGTCAAGAACATTTCAGATACCAACATTAAGAGGTTGTGCATCCTATATCTCAGTCTGCTTTTCAAGCAGACCTCCTGTAACATCCTGAAAATTCAAGACAATAAAAATCACTAAAATTTTGAACTTTTTAAAACTTTTGCATCATGCTGGTTGTTATGGTTGTTATTGCTTGCCAAACCGTAAATCGACACAATGGATCAATTTAAAGATTTACACCCGAGCAATAATTACGATTTACAACGATGCAATATTTATTATCAATCCCATAAATATTTATGCACATGAAAGCCAAGTCAAATAAAGTACAAGTTAACTATTAAACCCTGTAGTATAAATCACAAATCGAATATTGAATAATCAAACCATGTTGATAGCCTGAATTCATATTTAACAAAAGGAAACAACATGGTTGAATATAATCCACTTGAATCCAATCTCACATGAAATATAGATACACATGAAATGATGACCAATTATAATGGAACTCTATCTATAACATAGTTCACTAGGAGTAATTAATGGGATATTACTAAACCATAATGCTCTATATAAAGGTAAACCAATTCACATGAAATAATGGTCATATAATTAAATTAAGCTTTATAAAATTATGTGAGGTTTTAATTAAACAATTAGATTAATATTGTGCCGAGTCTCAATTTACTATTTTAAATAGATTGAACCTATCCGTGTAAAATATATTGCTATACAACTAAACTTGACCAATCTGCTAATGTATTAATCATGACAAGTCGTTATATTAAATTTAATAGTACCCCAAAGTCTTCAAAAATATATAAGTTCACCTTAGGGCCAATAACTCAAATTAATCTAAAAAAGAATTCGTTTGTGCGATAAATAAATAAATATGGGTAATATTAATCTAGGGTGAATCCATTGGTTAGAATGACACAAATATTGAGTAAACTTCATTTGTGTAAAATTTAGGATTTAAAGAATAAAATTTATATAGGAAATAGGCTAAAATAGGGTTAAATAGCCGGCTAGCACTGTTCATTAGCCCCCTAGGTGTTTGATTTGGTTCCTAGCCCTCCTCCTCCTCCTGCCCGTCCCATCTTCTCTGCCGCGCACGCCTGGCCGCCCCGAGCCCCGCGCCGCCATCGCCGTCGCTTCCGTCGCGTCGCCGCGCCGCCGTTCCATCACCCCGAGCCCCGTGCCGCGCGCCGTCGTCGTCTCCGGTCGCGTCGCCTCGAGCCCCACCCCTCCGCGCGCCGTCGCCATCGCGTCCCGTCCCCGCTGCCGCGCCGCGCGCCGTCGCCGTCGCGTCGCCATCGCCACGCGCCGTGAGCCGTCGCCATCGCGCTGCTGCGCCTTCGAGCCCCGCGCCCTGTCGCTGCCGCGCCGCTCGACCGTCGCCGTCGGCCTCGCGCCCTGAGCCGCCGCGCGCTGTCACCGTTGCGTCACCCGTCGAACCGCGTCGCCCGTCCCCTAGCCGCCTGCGCCCCGCCGCGCGGCTGTCCCGTCGCCGTCGCCCTGAGCCGCTGCCGCGCCCCGAGTCCTGTGCCGCTACCGCGCCTTCGCGTCATCGCCGTCGCCATCAGCACCTCGAGCCCCGCCCGCGCCGCGCACCGTCCTGTCGCCGCGCCGCGCTCCATCGCGCGCCGTCGCCCTTGAGCCCCGCGCCGCCGCGCCATCCCGTCGACGATTAAAAGCCGGCCAACCCTCCCCCCGAGCCCTATAAATGCCCCCTCCCCTTTCCCTTCCCTCCCCACGCCATTTCCCCCTCTTCTCCCTTTTTTTTTTCCCTTTCTTCACCTCCACCGACGCCGCGTTCCGCCGCCGCGCCGCCGCTGCCGCGCCCCGGCGCCTCGCCGCCGCCGCGCCGCACCCTGCCGCCGCGTCCCCGTCGACTCCGCCGTCGGTCCGGTGAGCCTTCCCCTCCCCCTCCGCTTGTCGACGCGCCGCGCCGCCCGCTGGTTCCATCCGAGCCGCGAGAGAGAGAGGGAGCCGGGAGACAGCCGAGAGAGAGAGAGGAGAAAAGAGAGGAGAGATTAGAGTGGGCCCCACCTGTCATTAGCCCATCCAATTTCCCTTTAGAAGAATAATTCTGTAGAAAAGGAAATCCAGACCTTGACCCCACCCGTCAGCTGTGGTGATGTGTGTATAGGGTTTAGGAATAAAAATAATGAATTAGGAACAGTACCATTTCGCAATTATTAGAATTAATTCAAATTTGAATCTTTGAGCTAGCATAGTTTATTCGTTTTAGCTCCGATTCGAGTGAAACTTGAATCTAAATTCATCTAAATTCATAAGCTTTCTAATGGTATATAATTTACTATTTAATAAAATATATTTATAATAATAAATTAATTAATATCAAATGGTTGGATAATAGTTAACCTAAATAGTGTGCCAATAAATAAAAATGGATATTGTATAGTAGCATAATTATCTTTAAGGTGTTTTGTCACAGTAGCAACCACATAAATTAGTTATAATAAATCCTTCAAATTAATGGGTGTATAGGAAAATATTAATGCCATTTACTAGCCTATGTCCAAATATAACCAAATCCATGACTTATAAATTATTTACATAAAGTTTAGCCTCATATTTTGTAAACAAAAATATAAACACACCTAGATGAATCTTTAACTTGTTTAGGAGAGTAATCACAGAGCTAGTTGTATTTGGACCACTTAAAAATTAATTGATACAATGTCATGTGAAGTAGAATATATATATATATATAGTCAGTTGATATCCATTAGTTAAACAAACAGAGCCATCTTAAAATCAACATGTATTGTATAGCTTATAGTAAAAAGCAACTACTCAAATATATGATCCAATAATAAGACATTGTTGCTTACACATATACTATACGTCCCATTATAGTTGTACGGTATAGTATTAATTTGCGTGTTACATATATTAATTAGAGGGAGTGTATGACAAACATGTATATTAGATAAATACTAGTATAAATCTTGACCTCATATGATTATAATTATAGTTCAACTGTAAATTAGGATTTTTTATTAAGGGATAATCTGTAACCATAATATGATTAACCTAAACAACTCTAACATACAAAGCATGGATAATTATTATCCTTTTATAATTTATTGTGACAAGTGAAATATGTTCATAATTAAAGTAAAGCCTCCATCAATTAAATAATAATACACATGATTCATTATTTGGTTGATCCTAAATCCATCTAACAACAGAACCTCTAGTATATAACCGTCCTATTTAGATAGATGCATACATAGCCATAATCCTTCCATAGCCATTAGCTAGACTAAACCACATATTAGCCCGATGTATATCTTATTTATACACTATTGGTTAACTCCTAAATAAACCACGTTGACAATAGAAAGATTAAGAAACCTTAGCCCCTAGCGTAATTGGAATCCGTTAGCAGACATGAATAGTATGAGCAACCCTAGGTTCAACCCCGACATTTGTATTTTGGTTGTGCATATTTGCTTGTTGTTGAATATTGGTTTTTCTTGCGTATTATAGAATTTGTGTATCGGTTAGTCGTGAGGCAACGTATGCAGCTTCCAGGAGGTGAAGGTTGATCAAGATTATATCAATAATAAGGACTATTCTGAGCAGGCAAGTCATCACTATTCCTTGAACATGTTGATCCTAATTGTGAAATTGTTTTGTTTATAAATAAAATTGCATGCAATGATGAACACCCTACTTGTGATTATGCCATGCCTTGATCATTGTTTACCCTTGAATCCTTGTAACCATGTTTACGTATGAGTCCCTAGTCAACTATGACAATTGCTTAGAAATGCTATTCTAGAATCATGCATACTCATATTTATCAAATGCTATATGCTTGGGCAATTACCTTTGGGAAGGTAATTGAGATGCGGCATGTGGAGACATGAGCGCCACATTGCCATGATGTTGATGACATGATTTGTGAAAGGAGAAATAAAATTAAACAACTGTTTTCGACTGGGGCGGACGGAGGATTTGGGTGGTATCTGGAAAAGGCTAGTACCGTCCCCGGTCAATTAAGGACCGAGCCATGAAGTTAAGCATGAAACGACCCCCGTACAACCGTACTTCTCGAATGGGTATAGACCTAGCGGATTAGATAGCCGAGCGGAGGCAGTATCCCTGCATAGTGGTTTCTTGATGTGTGAGGCAGGGGCTCTACGGTGGGGCAGCCATTGGTAGAACCGCGAGGCGGGTGTCTACAGTGGTGTCGCCATCAGTAGGACTGCCATGTGAGAACCTAAAACATAATTATAACTTAATGCATGTGTGAGTCTTCCCTTCCCGGGTGCGCCAGAACTCCTCTCACTGCTAGAAACCGTGTACGCCTAGAGTGCATGAGGATGAAAAGTTCATGGAGCGGGTACTGCCAATGCGAGGTTATCGAAAAGCTTTGCCGTGACGCGTCTCATGTGTTGGGACGAGGCTCATGTGTTGGGCAGTCGCGGAGTGCGGGTAAAGTGTACATCCACTGCAGTGTGAGTAAACCAAATCTATTCGAATAGCCGTGCTCGCGGTTATTGAGCACCGGGACATGTATTACACTTGGCTAGACTCTAAATTTTTAACTTGTGGGGGATGGGATATTGCATGATGAATTTTATGCTGATGGAGCCACATCCCGAGAGGAGGGAAGGTGGACATCCTCAGAAAACCATGACGATTCAATGGCGGGAAGCTATCCTTGGGATCACAATGGATGGTGGACAGAACCGTCGTTGTTTAAAGTGAACACTGGTACTAAAATTTGATCAGTCTATGCTAGGTTTTAGGCTTGTGAAAAGAATTGTAAAATTAGCTTTATGCAAAAGAACCTGAAACCATTCCTTGAATACCCTCTATCATATGCATTGTTGTTGTGGTGGCTTGCTGAGTACGGTTGGTACTCACCCTTGCTATTTATATATCTTTTAGGAGAGTGTTGAAGAGAAGCCCTTGTCGGTACGCTTGCGTATCCCACAAGATGATCGGAGTGCGGTCTTGTTCTAGGTCTCGTTCCCCAGTCGACTGCCTGTGGCATGTTAACCGGGCCCTTATATTATTTTGTCTTCCGCTGTTGTTCTCTGATAGTTGTTGGCCTACCTGGCCCTAATGTAAGTATTTAACTCTTTTAGTCTAAATTCATTCGTGATATGTTGTGATCCAACTATGTATGTGTGTACCAACTACTGATCCAGGGATTGGTACGGATAAACACAGAAGATTTCCGATTTCCAAAATCGGGGGTCTACACCTCCCTGCAAATCTCTTTGAGTCCTCATGCAATAGATGGCCTTGTTAAAGGATTGGAGGCCAATCAACGTCTAGTAGGTGACTTGACCCTAGCAACCCTTGAGGACAGTTGAACTCAGTTCAGGTACTAGTGTATTTTGTTACAGTATTTGTTCCTTAAGAGGTATTATTTTTTAGGGTAGGGGATATGGTATACTCTGTCAATTCTGCACTATTCAGCCAATTTTCAATATTGAGAAGTTTTAAGCGTGCTCACAAAATAGAGGAGGACGCTCATTCAGGTTGCATAGATTGTACTTTTGCTTCATTAAATGTATCCACTCACATTATTTTATTAGTATATATTCTATATATTCCTGCCTAAACCTGCTTCATGGATTTCTTTTTCCTACTTGGCCTTATTTTGTTGGTTTAAAAGCAGAGCAGCGCACTTGTCATGGTCTCCTTTTTTACTGGGGGTTTGATCTCTTTTGTCAGCACAGGCTCTGATTTTACCTCCTAGACATTCAAAATAGGAACTCTCTTCAATTCCAGTTCCAGATACTGTTCCTCAAGAACACAGGTACTAATTGATGAAGTATCCTCTAAAAGATACGTTGAATATAGTGCTTTTTCATGTTGCCGTTCCTAATTTTATTCATTCCTTGCTATGTTGTGTTCTCTAGGTCCAAATTCCACTTAAGGTTGTGACTCTCTGTGCAAGTAGAGATGTGATTTGTCAAATTTGGAACGGCACTAGTAATTGTCTTATCTCATCATGTTTTTCTGAGTGTCCAAATTTTTAACCTTTTCTTTTCCTTCAGAAGGTAACAGACTTTGCTTGTATCCAGGTTAATGTCAAACTTCGATTCCCTGTTGTATTGAATTAATTCATGGAACCTACAAATCTTCCACCTGAAGATTTTTTGCCTGCCTGGAATTCTGGAAAGCATTAGCTGCTCAGTCTCTGAAAGTTTAAGATGTGGTAAGGTTTCAGTTCTGTTGTGGATAACTAGTGAGTTGTGAAGGAATACATTTTTTTCATGAAATGTAGAATTGGATAATCTTCCCTCATGGTTTTGCTTGTTTTTTCTTGTTACTGATGATTTAGTGTGTCTTGTTAGATTGTTACTATTGCCTTCTAGCATAATGGATATAGCAAGTATGTTTAGCTGGATAGTAATGTTGTGCTCTATTAAAAACAAAGGAACAATGGAGCGGATTGCCCTTAAGTTTCTGGTTTCTCCACGTGGTCGAGGCTCTGATTGGCGACTTTGGTGGGCAAAGCCCTTCTCTAATATCCTTATTGTTTAAGTTTCCAAAGTGTATACAACCTTTATGTACTAGGTGGCATCTAATAATTAGGGAATCTGACACAAACTAGGAATATCAAATAGAATACATAAATCAAGCTAGGACTAGAATTATGAACATATCTAACGCACCCAGCCAATGCTTCCCTGCACCTATGGTATTTGATCCCATAACATCCGTAACAGATAACCTGTATGCAGATGGAATGTTGCAAATCATAAGTCCTTTACTGACAGCAATTGTCTAGGAGAAAATTCTAGTTAGTGTAGCAGAAAATTAGGTGCCTCTTTGCCAGCAAATTCGACCTTTGATGCCATCAGTGTTGGTGTAGCAGAAATAATGTCATCAATGTTCAATGCACAGTCTCAGTTCAATGTAGGTCAAATCAAAACAGATTTACAAGACAGATGTCAACTTCAGTTCGAAATTTGATTAAAGCTTGTTACAGTTCTTTTTATAAAGTAAGTTAATGGCTACGAGAAAACAGAAGTTGACCGCTGTTATTTTTGCCATGCAGGAGTTCACCAAAGAGTCTTTAATTAATCGATTATCCTTAGGGATAATTGGTTCTAATTCCGTCTACATTGGAAGCCATAGTTCCTTCAGAAGTACCTGTCACAATGGCAGCACAATGAAAAGAGGAAAACAAAGCATCCTGCTGGCAAAACGACTTGTGGCTGAAGAACAATGATGAAGCAAGGGGTGACGCAGAAGTATTTATTTTACTTTTGGCCGGGTTATAACTTATAAGTCCCTTGATCACTGCAGGTTATAAGCTCTGGGAATCCTCATTGCCCTAGGTCTAGTGTTGAATCTATGTAGTTTTTTATGTAGTTTTTTCAACCAAAATCGATCTTGAAGTTTGCTGTTTATGTGTAATTACGATTTGTATCAACAAGATTAGAATGTTTAGCTATATGCCTTGGATTGATTAACTAGGCTCGTTTTTTTTCTCATTCAAGTGTTCAATGAAATGTATGGTTCTCTAGCTTCTCTTTTGTTTCAAAATCCTTAGTTTTGGGGGCTTGCGTGTAGATGGCAGCTGTATCTTTCATGTATATAAAGCTATGGTTGTAGAAAATTATAGTGCGTATTATAAATTATTGTAGGATATATTATATTTGATGGTTAAGATGTTCCACCTTTTCAGGAATGCTAGGCTATTATTTGCATTCTTTTGTGTGGCCCATACAGCCCTACCAATTCCCTGGTTGTGCAAATTTGGAGAATTTGAATATTACTTGAACTGAATATTACATGTGGCTGTTGAGATCACGCTGATTGAAATCATTTCCAGGCAAAGGAGTGTTAGGACAGAGTGCAGATCAATCAGTCCACCTTCGAATATACTACAGCCTGAGCAACCACTGTTCTTGCTGAATTTCAACCAAAAGCAAGTCACAGAGTCGCTCTATGCAAGTCATCTGAATCTAAACAGGTTGACACAAAAAAATGATTTTCCATGAAAAATCAACTCGTATGCAATCAGATGAAGCTAAACAACTAGCAACATTTCTCAGGCTCCAACCAAACGATGAAATTCCATGGAGCAGTTTACTTGCTGAATAGTTGAATCAATTAGACGATTGAAACAACCTCTTCCACACTTCAAAACCTGTCTTATCTCCACAGGGGTTAAAAACAAAAAAGAAAAAAAAAAGCGAACAAAGAATCAAGAAATAATAGATGTAGCAGGTACAGTAGGCAAGCACCAACACCTCCCCTCCAACCTCACACTATGGAAACTACTAATTTTTTACAGAATACAACTCACACTTCAAGATAAGCTTCAGGGCAACAGAGGCAAGGGAAGTTTGATATTCTCCCTCCCACAGATTTTCGTCGGTTTGTTTGTTTACGCGTTCTCAGCTGCTGCGTGCGATCGCTTTGGTCGCCACTCTGTGTGTGCCTTCACAATATCAGCTCCTGACTCAAGCTGAAGAAGATGGTCGCACTGGATGGCAGAAGCCTGCTTGTCGGCGCCAATGCTGGTGCATTCCCCTGACACGGTGGTAAGTGATTGCAGCACGCTGTCTCGACCACACTCCTTCCTGTAATCCAGGGTCATGCTTGCAAGCTCATGCTTCTCCAGTACTGAAATTGGAGCACTCTGGGGGAAAAAATTAGAAAGAACTCAAAAACATGTTTGAAAGCCTTCTGACTGACCAGATGTAAGACTAATGACAATATCAACAATACAGATGGTCAGATCAGAATCTCTAGAAAATAATTGCAAGTACTACATAAAATGGTTCCCTAACAACCACCATATAAAAGGATAAAGCCAAATTATTTTTCTCTAAACAATGAATAAAAGGGACAAGAATAACCACCTCAAGGATCCACCCAATATATTTAACATTGTTCACATGCTGATTGACATCGAGGTCACCCCATCTAGGCTGTTGCAGTAAACAAGAGTCCATCAAAGATCATTTAAAATAAATGAGGGGTGAGATCAAATATTACTATTTTTCTTAGATAAATGATTGCAGTTGAGGCATAATGATAATTTAGTATGTAACTATGTCTAGCTGACTTACAGTGAGCCCCTTTCTTATGAATTGCTCTGTAGCATCATCACCAACTTTATTTCCTGTCTTGGCTAACTTTTCACTCTGCTCCTCTGTTATAGCTGAACGGTCATTGAAATATGGGCCTATTTCAGCTCTAACTTCATCTGGCATTTTTGAAAGTCTTCTAGTTTTCTTGTGCATCATCACCCAAACACTGCAAGAAAGGATTGGAAAAGGAGCACAATTAGCAATTATCAATGATGTGATCAAGCAGAAATACCAAGATTGGATATCCTCATAAAAAAAACGATACAGATGATTCTTGCAATAGAATAAAGTTGAAGCCCAAACCTTGTAGCTCTCAAGATTGTTCGGCCAGAGTTGTAGTCACGAACATGCCAGTCTCGACGCATGCCATTTTTGCCAGCAGCAGCAACCCATGTGTCAACTTGAACCGTATCTCCCCTAAAACCATAGCAGGTTGGTACAATACATCTGTCATTTTTTTGATCCACAGAAAGACGTCGGCAATTGTATCTGAACTAAAAAAACAATTTGAAATTGCACCTCCATTTTTATAACTCAAAACCCCCAAAAAGAAGTTTTCAACCACTTGTTGACACAGTTGACAAGAGGATTTAAACATAACGTGTGCAATAGTAGCACTAGCACCACTTATTTGATGAATGATGACCACCTAGATTTTTAAACTGACAGATGCTGTTCAACAAAAGTTCACTGTTCTAGATGGGTCCTTAGCTTCTCCCATGATATGGCACAGCATTAATTGCTTTTGTTCTTTTCTATACGATGGAATCATTTACTGCAGACCAATAAAGGGAAACTTTCTGAATTGTGATCCCTTGAGGTGTGGTACCCTGTACAGACGTCTTTTAATTCAAGATCCAAGAAAGCACAGAACAGACAACATTTAATGAGGCAGCTCTGGGCAATGAATATGAAGTAACCAGTCAATTATCTATTGGGACTAAATTTTATTATTAGTCTATGTTTAATATTTCTAATTAGTGTCCAAACATCCGATGTGACATGAACTAAAATTTAGTCCCCGGATCCAAACACCACCTAAACCACTCTCTCTATCCACTAATCAGTTATGTTTTCGGGAGAGCATTGTCCTGTTAAGTGATATTATACTTTTCAAGACAAAACAGGGCAACAGAGTTATAGTGCTGCCAAACTCAGGCCTTGGGGTATCGAAATTTTCATGTTGCTTGTAATAAAGCTAGACAATAATTTTAATGTGAACTACCCGAGTGGTAAATTTTTGTTTGTAAATGTAAATAAATCACTTGCTAATTTATTTTTAAAACGGAGCTTATCGCTGGAAAACGAAAGTACATGCCCGTTCTGGCATTCCCACTCAACATAATTCAAGATCCAAGGAAGCACAGAGAAGACATCATTTAATGAGGCAGCTTTGGGCAATGAATAAGGCGTAACAAATGAAGTTGCTCTTGGATCTAAATTACTACTCCACTAATAACTGACGTCTAAAGGAGAGATTACTGTTCTTCTTTGTTTTTAACTGATGTTGTGTCTTTTGAGGACAACATAGAGCAAGGATAGCTACAGACTTACAGTGCTGTACCAAAAAGGCCTTGGGGCATCAGAACTTTTATGTTGCATGTACTAAAGCTAGATTATGTCTTTAATGAGGATTACTCAAGATGCAAATCCTGTTTCTAAATGCAAAGAAATAACTTGATAGTTTGTGTTATAATCAGGGCTCGACAATTGGAAACAAAGTGCATGCTCCTCCCCACTTAAGTAGGAATATATTCATTTCTTCCTAATTGGAAAATTTAGTTTGCCACAAACTCTATCCTTGATCCAACAAAACTGGAGCTGATATTACTACACATTTCTTAGTCAACCAATGAGGAATAACAGCACCTCCTAAACATGAGGCCTATCACGGGAAATCAAAGAAAAACATGGCCTTCTATAGCAGTAAAAATTTCAACCCATATTCTTGCAAACCAGCAGCAGCGAAATATACGACCAAGTAAAAGATTCACTTGATTTTCATCAACCAACCAGTATATGGAGAAATCAGACCAGAGATCCACACAACATTATGATAAACCATGTTAAAGTAAATATTGAGCTAAATACTACTGTTGCCTGAGTAAGAATCTTCTTTAAACAAATAGAAACAAATATGCCAAGGACACACAGCTATAAAGTAGTACATAAAACGATATCTGTAAAAGAAGCAAAACAAATATGAAGTAATTTAAAATGTGACAAAAATGAAAACTTACGGTAAGGAATTGATAGAAAGCAACCAAAGATACATATATTAAGAGGAGCAAAGGTTTGCAAAGAAGTACCATGCGGGGTATTGCTCAACAAGAAGCTGGATTTTGCTGACAACCCATATCAAGTTCCGTTTGCTCATCTCCGGTGTAGCCCCAAAACCATCTCCAAGAAGACCAGCAGTCCTCACATGGTTAAGAGCTGTTTCCTGCAAAATTTTAAATAATTGCCAGCTTGAAAGAGACATATGAATCTATAACAAAATGCTGAAATGAGAAATAAAACTAAAAACAGAATGTGCAACCACTTACCTGTAAATGATTCATCAATGTCTCTATAGAAGCTGTACGATCAGCACCAATCTCGTAGGACCGAATCATGAAGTTCTGCCTAAACACCATACCGTCCTGGATAATCCTACCAAAGCCAAATGTGTCAACAAGCATGTCAGGTTTCTTTGGCTTCCAATCAAGCAGTGTCCACTGCTTCTCTGCGGCAAGGAAGATGGTTGTAATAGCCGCAAGAAGCATGCTCCAATCCGGCAGTTGGTTATAGAACGTCTTTGGAGCACTGTAAGGCACCGTTTCCTCCATGTCAGGCTTCACCGTCTTGAGGTTAACCTTCGTACCATTAACCTTGGGAAGGGTTTGAGCCTGTGCCTTTACTTGCATGGCTGCAGGAGGTGGGTTAGGCTTTGCGACAATGCCACGGACACTCAAATTCTCCGGCAATTCGCCGGTAACAGCAGCATTCTTGGAGCTTCTAGCTGATGCTGCAGGAGATGAGCCTGGACCTGGGAAGAATGCTGAGGCGGCAAGAGACCCTGCCATGATTGAACTTCCCTTCACGGCCCAAAATTCGTTTAGAAATCAATCACACGCCAAAAGCGCTAACCTGAATAAACAATCAATTGTATTAGACACTTTACAACAATGTAGCTCTTTGGAAAACTTAAAAGAGGAGAAAAAAAATTGAGGCATGAACTAGTGGATCCACCCACTAAAAAGTTTGCCTCCTCATGGGGAAAAAAAAGGCCTCATATATCATAAACAAGTACACCCGCGAATTTCCCAAACGATTCGAAACCACATTTGAATCAATGCAGGCAAAATGAACCATATGCCCCCCGATGAACAAAATGGCATTGAGAATTGGGAGGACCCAATATCGGAACTCGCAGGGGCGGATCCAACTTGGGACATGGGGGGGGGGGGGGTTAAACTGTTACTACTTGTATTAAGGCTCTGAAATTAAGGAGGAGAAGAGCTTCCTCCAGATCTAGAAGAGAAGAAGCTAGGGTTAACGAACGAACGCAAGCAAATTCGAGGCAAAAGTAGTCCCCCGAAGCTAGAATGAGAGAGAGGTGAATCAGGAAGAGGAGGCTCACCAGGATCCCCTCCCCTCCCCTGCTCTGCTCTCCTCGGCGATGGAGATCGGCGCCCCTCCACTCCGCTGTTGAGCCGCGGCTCGTCTTTCTTGGCGCAAGGAAGGAGACGACGGGAGAATTTCTCCTCTTTCTTTTACGCCAAAAAAGGGAAGGAAGGGGGAAGATACTATCCACCTTTTATCTCAACATTTTTTTTCCTTTATGATTGGCTGGTGGCCCACGTATCAGCGATACTAAGAGAAAAATAAATATTATTATCAAACTCGATTAGGGATTGTGTCAGACCACCATCAACCACTAACTTTAGTATTGCTACACGCACGGCCGTCACCGACGCTCTTTTTTTTAAGGCAAAAAAGGGAAGGAAGGGAAAGATACTCCACCTTTTATCTCAACATTTTTCTTTATAATTGGCGGGTGGCCCACGTATCAGTAATACTAAGAGAAAAAATAAATATTTCGATTAGGGATTTGTGTCAGACCACCAGCAACCACTAACTTTAGTGTCGCTCCACGCACCACCGCCACCGACGCTCTTACTTTTTGAGCTACCGTCGTTCCTTCTCTCCGCATTTACATGCGTAGCCGCGCCCTCTAGTTATCAACATGTCTTTTCTCCTCCCCCAATGTCATGCATATTGTTGTCATGGTTGCCGTTGAGGTCGGGGTTATCGAGCTTGCGGCGTGTTTTTTTTTCAAATAAATGCATGACCATCCAGACCCAGTAGAGCTAGCAGGTCTAGCCTCTCAAGTCGATTCCTTTTCCATGTTTCGTTCATGCAATGCCCCCACCCACTGGTAGGGGTGAAAATGGGGCAGGTATTTCCCGATCGTTCACTCAACTCAAGGCTTGCATGAAGAATATGCCAGAGAAAATTGGATACCCGATATTATGCGAGCTTGAACCCGAATCTGTAAAAATATATGGGCTAGGATACGAGAAGTGTTGTATCCACTCATATGTCTCATATTATAGAACACATATGAAAATAAATTATAAATTCACCTAGAAACATGATAAAAGGTAGTTTATCACTATATTTTTGAGCTCACATGTAATATTATATAATTTCTCTTTTAGCACTTTAATTGTCTTTTTATATTAAATATCTATGAATTAGAGACAAATAAATATTTTTTCATGAATCTGATTCGAAGAAAATAATATGGGATAGAATACGGGATAAGTGATAGTGATATGTTATTCGGTACTATCTTTATCCAGTTCTAAATTTAAAGGAAGATATGAGTTAGGATACGAGAATGTTGTAATTCGACCGTACCTGCCCGTTTTCACCCCAATCCACCATACCGCCTTCGCCCCCCTCCCCCCCCCCCAGCACCCCACATGCACACACACATAGTTGCAAAATTTGTTTTGGCACAAATGACTCCTTCCTTCATCCAACAAATCTGAAGCTGCTATTACTTTATCCACTTCATTTCTTCATCAAGAAACAACACCTCCTAAACATGAGGACTCTCATGGAAAATCGAAGAAACAGATGGGCTCTTCTAGCAGTAAAAATTGCCGACCCCGTATTTTCACAAATCAGCATTAGCAGTAAGATTTTTGTGTTGGAATTAACAGATGGGCTAAGTTCCATATGAAAAGGCATACATGGATATTTTGATTGGTGCTTCAAAAATTCCACACCAGTTGATCAAGGCATAGGTGAAGCGGGCTAAAGTGATGGAGTGGAGTTCGGGCCCTCCATCGTTGGAACACAGCCAAACAGACTCTAAATTTTATCACTGATCTTAAACTTTATTTGGATGTCAAATTCAAAACACTAAAATTGAGGTAAATTTATCAAATTAATCTCAAAAAGCATCCTAGATCAGTCTGTGTGGGTGTGGGTTTGGACGCAGCTTCCCTGTTCCCGTGGCACTCAATCCGTGTTACTTTAGCATGTATTTGATTCTAATACTTACACGGGCGTGCAATGCGATCCAGATTTTATTTTATTTTATTTTAAAAATGCGGACAAAAGCTTTGCCTACCTCGTACCCCTCCATCTCTTTTATTTTTTAGGAAAATCAATTTCTAAAGATAAACATAGACAAACATATGTGTAAATTTTATTCATATAAGTAATTTTCATAAGATGGGGGAGTATGTATTAATGCGTTCCAGATTTAACTTGCAGATGATCAAACAATCCAAATCAACCATGCCGATCGAACAAAATTAGCAAGCTACTAGTATTATTCATCAATGATTTCATCATCTTTTTTATTTGTTTGGAGCCCTCGCCATGGAGGGAATAATTGGGAGAGACAAGGACGAGTAGAGAAACCGAGATTAATTTATGGCCAAATACAATGAGCGCAACAGGAATGTGAGATGTGAATCTAAGGGAAGACATATGGATCGGGTTCACATCCTCTGCTATAAATACATTATCATTACAGATAAGTACTTATGAGACCATCGAAGTGCGAGATATATCGTGTGGCAATATGGTGGTATTCCTCACGCATATGGATCATCACATGTGAATCTCGATATGGTCCGCGGGCCTGGGCACGACCCACGATTCGCCATCGACAAAAGCGTAATAGCTATATGCAAACGGTACGTTGCTATCAGCGATTTCTTCGGCCCATCCCATCTTCTTGCTTGCATCCAATCCAGGCCCAGAGCAGTTGTACACACCGTAGTAGAATCCGCTCCTGCATCCATATATAGTTTTAGCAAGTCCTTCCCCTTTTATAGTAGTACAAGGAAGACTCTTGTAGAAGATGAAGTGCTTACTTTCTTTTTTCAAAGCATCCCTTTTATGCGTTGCTTGCCCTTAATAGTACATCTCTACACTTTTATTTTCATTCATATAGTATATGTAGCTAGAGTAGTGCTATACATTAACACTATATATATATATGTGGGTATTAATTTTGTTACAAATACAATACAATATGTAAATTATTCCCTTCGTTTTATATTATAAGTCATTTTGACATTGGTCAAAGTCAAATTACTTCAAGTTTAATTAAATTTATAGACAAATATAGTAATATTTACAACACCAAATTAGTTTCATTAAATAAATAATTGAGTATATTTGCATAATATATTTGTCTTAAGTTGATAATCTAAAACAAAGGGAGTAATAAGAATTCTAGAATTGTAAATTAGCACATACCCTTTCGGTGGCTTTTGGATGTTCCCGTGGTCGTCGTAGCCAATAGGCACGATCTCATTGGCGATCTTGCTATAGGTGTAGGCGACGAACGACGAGTCCTCCCATGCCCTGCCGAGGTAGACCTTGTCGTCGGCGCCACCGGTCTCGATGACGCAGTTGTGAAAGGCGAAGCCGTTCCAGGTAGAATTGATCTGCTTGGTGTGCGAGGGCGGCCTCTTCTACGTCGCTGGCGCCGTGGGCACGGCGGGGTCTCGCTTGGAGATCGATGCGGCAATCGTCGTAGAAAGACCTCCCGAAGCCGAAGATGGCGTCGACGCCGCCATTGATGGTGCAGTTCCTGAAGTAGTGTGTCCCCATCTCGTCGTATAGCACGCCTTGTCCGCCCTCGATCGTGCAATTGAAGAATGATGCCCTTTTTTCTGCCACCCGCAGTGCCACTGTCTGCCCTTGCTTCCCCCCTGTTGGCCCATCATTCTGCCATCGTCCAAATTCATAAGTACACCACCTCATTTCCAGAATTTTTATTTTTATTAACAAAAAAAAGAAAGAAAAAGAAATATGTAGAGTATCCAAGTATAATTGAAGTAATTAAGATCCTTCCGGTTCCATAATTCATATGTTTCATTTTGGACAATGACACGGTTGTTAAAATATAATATGTTTGTCTATATATTTTTATTACCCCCCTCATTCCATAATGTAAGTTGTGCACCCATTTCAAGATTCAACTTCAACCTCAAAAATATTTGACTAACGATTAGTATAATGTAAATTGAATTTTATATCATTGGATTGATATTTCAATATTGCTACAAACTTTATACTCCATCCGTTTCATAATGTAAGACTTTCTAGCATTGCCCACATACATATAGGTGTTAATGAATCTAAACGCATACATATGTCTAGATTCATTAACATCTAAATAAATATGGGTAATGCTAGAAAGTCTTATATTGTAAAACGGAGGAAGTAGTATATAAAAGAAATTATAGCCAAATATTCAACGTGCAAGTTTGACCAGAAATGTAAAGAGTATAATATATATAATAAATAAATATATTTTTCTTTTTTATTATAATACTTTGTAAAACAAATCTATATACGTTATTCTAGTATCTTTATTAAATAAACATACTAATAGAATCTTATTCAAAAGGTTAAGAGTTATGGAACCGAAGAGAAGGTGAAGGGAGGACCTTGAAGACGACACCATTGGCGATGAAGTTGGAGGCTTCGATGGCGACGATGGCGCTGCCGGCGGCGCCGAGGGGCTTGCCGTCCTTGCCCGGGGTGGCGGCGGTGTTGTTCCAGACGACGACGGCGGGGTTGGCCGGGTCGGACTCGAAGGTGACGTACCGCTTGCCCTCGCCGACGGCCACCTTCTCGCGGAACACCTGCCCCGGCTTGAGCCTGAACACGTAGCGCCTGGTGTTGTTGGCGTCGGGGACGGCGGCGAGCGCGTCGGCGATGGTGCGGTACTGCTTGCCGCCGCCGGCGGGGTCGACGGCCGCGTGGACCGCCGTCGCGTTGGCGGCGACGATGTCGCCGGCGATCGACGGCGTGTCCATCGTCGGCGTGCCGTACTGCATCGAGTTCTGCCCCAGCCAGATCTCGAAGAACGCCTGCGACTGCTGCGACGGCGACGGCTGAGACGCCAGCGCCAGCAGCAGTAGCCCCAGCTTCATGAGAAGCTGCGTCTTCGTCGTCGCCATGATCGATATGTCGATTTCAATTCGTTTTTCACCCGATAATATATGATGATCTCATCGATCGTGTTAGCTTCTTCTTCAATTTGTGCACATAATATATGTATTAATTCATGTGTCTGCTGGCTGCTATTTTTGGTCTGTCTAATTTCCTCTTGGACGAGAGCAATTCTTCTTCTTACAAAATGGATCAAAACCCAGCCTCGATCTACCTTCAAACAAAGATGTACACGGCCAATGACCAGAGAATATAGGTCAGAGATTTCACGAGTTGCCATTTTTCCAATAGCAATTTAGGTTTTGTTTAGTATATATAGTTCTAACTCTAAGGTTGAGTTCGTTTGGGCAACTAGCTGCGGCAACTTCGTCCTTGTCCGTAAGCATGCCTCCCGGACTATTAAATTTTGTGTAAAAATTTTCTATACAAAAGCTTTTTTTAACAAAAATCAAATAAATCTATTTTTTTAAGTTTACAGTAAAACAATACTCGTCAATCATGCGTTAATAGTTTATCTCATTTCGCGTGTCGTCAAAAATCCCAAACGAACTCAGCCTAGGTTTATTTTGGAGTTGGGTTTTTTCTAGCTTCGGGAATAGGGATGATAATTTTGCCAATGGATCCGGGTATCTGCGGATACCCAGCCCAATGGGTATAGATGTGGGTGTGATTTTTTACCCGTGGGCACGCTCACCCAAGACCCGAAGATCGACATCCTAGGCAACAACCAGGTCTCATTTTTTACCCATAGATAACCCATACCTAACCAAATACATATGTATTAGCTTATTTCGATCATCTCTTGATTCTTATACCCCTTTCTCTTAGTCCATTTATGATGCTAAGTTTGCTAACTGATATGATACATATGTATTAGCTTATTTCGATCCATCTCTTGATTCTTACGCCCCTTTCTCTTAGTCTATTTGTGATGCTAACTTCAACATCGCCTATATATATTCGTTCATGAACAATGTTTCTAAAATAGAAGTAACATCCACTACTGAAGAAAGGCTTTGTAGTCCCGGTTGGGAACCCCCGTAGTCCCGGGACTACAAATTTGGAACTAAAGATGAATCTTTAGTCCCGGTTAGTGTTACCAACCGGGACTAATATTTTTTTCTCTTTTTTTTGTTCTGCTTGCATGATTTAGCACCATCAATCATTCATAAAATCATCCAAAAATCTTCAAGCAACACAAATCATTCACAAAATCCCCAAATACATCAAGCTGGATTTTCTCTATATCCCCAAATGCATCAAATCATTCACAAAATCATAAAAACATCAACAAAATCTACAACACAATAATAAAATTATCCACACATCGCACATCGTACAGATCCACATCGCGCAGATCGTGGAGGAGGAGAGGGTCGCACAGATCCACCTCGGGGAGCACCGCCTCGCCGGCCTCGGACTAGCTTCTTGATCCAACGGTTGTTATCTTTGATGGCTTTAATGATGTGGTTTCTTGCATGACTTGCTTTATAGAAGTAAATGCCCCTTAGTAGATACCAACTATATAGAAAGATACGATACCAACATTTATGAATTGATGAAAAGAGGCTAATGATGCAATTTTACTCATCCATTATCTAAAGGTACAGATGAAATAGTTATACTTGGGCATATTTGGCGGAGCTTAATCTCAGCACCACTTTTCTTAGAGTTAAAGCCCAACTAAAAATTTTTAGCTCCACTCAAAAAGAGTGGAGAAATGATCCGAAAAAAATAAACAAGAGGGACAGAGCGGGCTTTGAACCACTTTACAACTTTACTCCAGACTTCTCATTAGGAGTAAGAGCCCTACCAAATAAGTCCTAAGTTTTGCCCCTCATCTCGATATTTATTTGGCTGTTAAATTCAAAACACTAAAATTGCAGCAAATTTCTCAAAGTGATCTCAAAGCATCCTAGATCAGTCCGTGGGCGTGGGTGGGGGCAGGATCCACGTTTCACCCGAGATAAATTCTTGGTTGGCATAGGGGAAGCCATCAGTGAGCTCTTTGGCCCAGCCCATCTTCTTGCTTGCTTCCAAACCAGGCCCAGAGCACTTGTACACGCCATAATAGTCCCCGCTCCTGCATACATATATGCAACAAACATGTATAGTTAATCGATTATGCTAAAAATAGATACTCCCAACTATAAGTTAAATAATACAATATTTTAAAGCTATAAGCATTTGCAATATCGAATTGGGTAAGACGTATTATATTTCTCCTTTTGTGCTGAGTAATTTTTGGACTTATTGCCTCGTCATCCCTGGACTTTTTAGCAGCTCTATATTGAGCAAATAACATTTGTAATAAGCAATTGTAGCTTCTTTTCAAATAAAGGCTAGATGTTATTCCATTATTAAATAACAAACATTTGTAATATTATGGAGAGTCTTGTGACTAACCAATGAAATATATCGGCCTCATCGTTTGCCCTCTGCGGAATAATATAAGCCATTGCCAATTTTTGAATTTTAAAATTTTAGAGTTGATTCTACGATATTTTTAACATGATTTCTTTTTCAACACTGGACTTTTAGTTGCTAAAGCACACATATATAAAAGTTTTATTCGTATATTATTTTTTATTGCTAATAAGCCTTTTTGGCTTATAATCAACTCATGGTCAACCGATAGAGACCTTATATCTCTAGCTACCTGCCTCCTAATATTTTTGTAAGATATTTTGGGAATATCTAGATTTTAGGCACGTGATATTTTCAAAAGTTTCAGTCACTTTTCTTATAACTGTTACTTATTACCCCTATTACTTATTTAAATAAATTAAGTTCTTCTTTAAATCAATGGTTGGAAAATTATTCTAACCTACAAAAAATACATAAAATAAACATAATAACTCATAAAATTTACAAATTTACATTAAAAAATCAAAGTTAGATAAAATAAATAAATAACAACAAAATTATAGTTAAAATGAAATAAAATTTCATTTGTCTAGCACTGCAATTTTAGGCTTAGCAATATGCAAGTCTAGGCAATTGAAATCTAGCAAATCCCAGAATTTTTATAAGGCCATAAGGGACCTCACTGTAAGGTCTTGTTTGGATTGGGCACAATATATGCTAGTGCACCTCTATGGATGACCTAGAAATTTAGTTCAAAATACTAACGCAGGCCAATTTAAGTCCTCCCCCTTAATAAAAAATACAAGATGAATACACTGCCGCGTTGCTACGGAAAATAAAGTTACATAATATGTACAAATAAGATGCAATATGATTATTAAAACTAAAACAAATTGATACTTATATATGAATTTTGAGCCTAAAAATAATTGGTGTTACGAGAGAAGAAAGAAGAGACAACGTGAACCATTTATCTAATCACCCATAGGCTAAAAAAATTGGTGTAATGTGGCTTAATGAAAGAAGAGAGAAATAGCATTAACTACACTTAGTGCGGATGTATTATGTAAGTAAATTGAGGATCATCGTTAGTTACATACCCTTCTGCTGGCTTTTCGATTTTTTGGCCTTGGAAGCCAATAGGCACAACCTCGCCATCATGGTATTGGAGAAGACGACGAAGGACGAATCATCCCATGCCCTGCCGAGGTAGACCTTGTCGTCGGCGCCGCCCGAGTCGCCGGCGCCGGCCTCGATGGTGCAGTTGTGGAACGAGAAGCCGAGGAAAGCGGGGTTGGTGGTCCCGTCGAGCCCGTCATACTTGGGCGCCCTCTGCGCCTGCGCCTGCGTCGTGGAGTACTACACGACGGTGGCAGGGTCTTTCTTGGAGATGATGCGGCAATCGTCGTAGAAAGACCTCCCGAAACCGAAGATGACGTCGGCGCCGCCGTTGATGGTGCACTCCTTGAAGTAGTGCTGCCCGTCGTCGTCGTACGTATACCGCGCCTTGCCCGCCGGCCTCGATCGTGCATTTGAAGAAGGATGCTTTTGTTCCTGCCACACGCAGTGCAACTGTCTTTCCTCCTTCCAACCCCGAAGGCGCATCATTCTACCATGCAAATATATATCTAAGAGTACTACAACCTTAATTCCATATATATATAGAGAGAGAGAGGGGGGAATATATATGATTAAGAAATAATCTCTCTCATCTTTCTGATTCATATTATAAGTCGATTAGTCAAACTTTATTAAATTTACAGAAAATTTAGCAACATCCACATCAACAATTATATAGAGAGCGCGTTCGGCTGTCGCGTACAATATTGCCCTGCAGCCTGCACCCAGTTTACTTGCTGCAGTAATAAGCTGTAATATGGCAGTGAAACAGCGCTATACAAGGCAGCCGAATAGGCCCATAGCATTGAATATATATTTTTTATAATATGTTTATTTTTTTAATATTAATTTATCTATAAACTTTAAAAAAGTTTGTTTAGAAAAAATGTCAAAGCAAGAAGACGACCTTGATGACGACACCGGAGGCGACGAAGTTGTCGGCTTCGACGGTGAGGGTGGCGCTGCGGACGTGGCCGAGGGGCTCGCCGTCCTTGCCGAGGGTGGCGGCGGTGTCGTTCCACACGATGACGGCGGGGTTGGCCGGGTCGGACTTGAGGGTGACGTACGCCTTGCCCTTGCCGACCACCACCTTCTCGCGGAACACCTGCCCCGGCTTCAGGCTCAGCTCGTAGCTCTTGGGCTCGCCGCCGCCGCTGTCTGGGACGCCGGCGAGCGCGGCGGCGATGGTGCGGCGCTTGCCTCCGCCGCTGCCGCTGCCGGCGGGGTCGACGCCCACGTGGACCTGGGCCTTGCTGGCGGCGACGACGCCGGCGTCCATCGCCGTGTCCTCCGCGTCCGGGGTGGTGTAGAGCAGCTGGTTGTCGGCCAGCCACTTCTTCAGCGACACCTCCATCTGCTTCGACGCCGGCGGCAGCGACGCCGCCACCAGCAGCCCCAGCTGCAGGAACAGCAGCGATTTCCTCGTCATCATCATCAAAATTTATTGGGAAATGCTGCGCGTTGGGCGCTCGAGCGGTCGAAAAAAAATCGGACGCCTCAAACCACGTGCTGAGTATTTTAAATAGTTTTAAAACGATTTTTCTTCTAAACTAATTATCCAATCTATGATCCGATCACGCCGTTGTATTCGTTGC